TCTTTACGTACCACAAATTGAAAGTATAGTTTTCAAAAATGTCTCAACCACAATCTCCAAATTCATCCATAGCTTCTACAAACGATCAATCTCGATTTTTCTCACAAAGGTCTCATCGAATTTACTTTAACAACGACGATAAGAATATTACCATAGAGTTACACCAGAAAAAACAACGTCGTAGAAGATGTATCAAATGTTGTGGTTGTTGCATAGCCACTATTTTATTACTCGTAGTTATAATGTTGGTTCTTGGATTCACCGTTTTCCGTGTACACGAACCGTCTATAAGGATGAATTCCGTCAAGATTGACGGAATAAATTATCTCAATACGTCCACTACTCTCCAACCAAACGTTAACTTAACAGTATCCGTTGACTTGTCCGTTAAAAATCGAAATTCAATGTCATTCAAGTTTAATGAAGCAACGACAAGTTTGTTTTACGATGACGTGGCCATCGGAGAAGCCCTAACGCCACCGGGGACCACCAAGGCGCGGAGGACGTTACGAATGAACGTAACGGTGGAAATAATGGTGGAGAAAATATTGAGAATTCCACGGTTAGGGAGTGATTTGAAGTCCGGTGAGTTACCGGTGAGTACGTATACGATAATTAATGGAAGAATTAATATGTTAAATATTATTAAAAAGAATATTGAAGTTGAAATGAATTGTAATATGATGGTTGATTTGAGAAATCAATATGTTAGAGATATTGATTGCAAGAAAAATGTATCTCTCTAGTTATATAAGATGTTTTTTTTGGAATTTTATTTGTGTTTTGTATGTGTTATAAAAAAAATATTGATTTTAAGGTTGATTATATAGTTTTATGGTTAAAAAGAACTTCTTTCTTGTCCTTCTTGTGAATTTTATGTTTTCCGGGCCTCTAGTAAGTTATATATAAAAAAAAAATATCAAATTTTACGATTTTATCGTCTGTGATTTTTACAAAAATTTCTGAATCGAAATCCTTTTAATTTAAAAAAAATCTTTCTAATTGCTCTAAACAATAAAAAGATTCTCTAAAAGAAATATGGAGTTAGCAACATATTTGATTTCAGAGTCAAATCAATACGTTTTAAGAAGAAGAAAAAAAAGATGAAAAAGATTGAAATATCGTTCTCATCGGGATCATACCAAATCCACTAATGGGCCTAAAGTAAAAGCTGAATTATAGGCCTTCCAAACTTTTGTTAGCCCACTTGCAAAGTAGAGAAGTGCTATCTAACCCAATACTAATATGTACTAGTACTAGTAATTATCTAACTAAATTGTACAATTAATGACAAAAAAAAAAGAGTTTACAAATCAATTAAAATGAAACTATGCTTAGGAAATGTTCAAAATATAATCATGATCTTAAATTATTTCTCATTTTAGAAGTTGAAGATAAGATTAATGATTCTATCCTCATTTTCTTGGTAATAATTGTTCTTAATTAAGACTACAAACACCTCAATAGAGTAAATAATGAAGAGACGTGTAAAAAAGAAACACAACAGATAATTTGAGACGGAGAGAGTAAATATTAATATTGCTTATGTAGAGTTGGAAATTGGAATCATATTATCACATTCACATGCAAACATTAACTCATAGTAGTAGACATTTTGGCCATATTATGCAACTATATAGTTTATGTAGAGTTGGAAATTAGAATCCTATCACATATTGACTTGCAAGCTAAAAACAAAGTGTGGAGAAACCTTGATTAATGTATTTGGCATATTATATTAAAATTATTTGTTTTATATGATAGTTTAACTTCTACATATAGAGAATATAAAATAAATGTTTTATATTATCAAGTTATCTAAAAGATCAATATATGTAATTGTACCTAATGGTCGTACATTCTCTTATGACAGAGATAAATCTAGAGTTTATGAACTCTAAACATTTCTTTTTACGCATACAATATTAAGTAAATTTCTTAATACGGATATAGAAATTTGCCAAATTATTGAGTCATTTGTAATATATAACTAAAATTCTAGTTTCACACCTAATTTATAGATCCATCACCATATAAAATGACAAAAAGAAAAGAATAATAGTAGGTTTACGATAAGAAGAAAAATTTGTAACTACTTACTATAAATGTAGACATGTCCAATCAGGATATTCAATATTGGTAAATATATTCACTTTTTTTTATGGTACATGAACCTTCAAAAGATGCTTTATTATTTCCTCTAAATGGCTAGATTAGTAAATAATAATGTGCCTTTGGCTACTATATGGATGCTTGTGCTTGTTTTATTCATGTTTTTCATTTAATAAAGAATAATAAAGATTAAAACGATTTCAAGAAAAAAACAGAAATCAGATTGAATTTGTGATCTCCATGACCCACAAGTCCATCTTTGGATAAATGCTTCTTTATTAGTGTAACAACCGGGCACGACTTATCAGTTCGATCAAATTCAATACTTTTTATTTACTATACTTTTAAAATATTAAATTTTGAATTTAATTATTAACATTTACAATTATCATTATAAAATTTACTGACCCATAAAATTAAATTTTGAATTCGTCTCTGCCAACCATTTGCTTTACCACTACCAAAAACATTGTGACTTTTTGTCACTTTCTATTATTTAACTCTTTGAAAGACAACTGGTACTTCATCTTTGTGTATTGCATGGTCTGTCTAAATATTCGACAATGTGATTTTATTAATTTTGTGATTCTAATTGGAAAGAAATAAGTTGTGTCAAAAAGAACATTTTTTTTTATCAATAAATTAGAAAGTTAAAGTAAAAGGATTTAATTTTTTTGGTGACATTTTATTTAACATTTCATTTTATTGATTGCAAAGTGAATACGGCATATATGCACGAGGACTTAATTATTGTTGAAAAAAATAAGCATATATAGTTTTGTGCTATAAAGCAGGATAAAATAACTATTTTAAAGTTAAATTGTTACAAAATCTAAATGTCATAAAAAATTAAGCTTCCACATACCATACTCTTTTTTTAAAAATAAATAAATATAGATTTCAGGTCACCGTCTTACTCCTTGTTTGGATGGCTGTTACCAGTCTAATTGTATTATATTATTAGTTTAAATTTAATGTTTATTTTGATTGTTGCTTAAATTTTATTGTATCGTATAGTTTAAATCTATTGTTAAATAACAATAAAAGGACCGTTTTATGTAACGACCGATTTGGTTTAGTCGTGTCATTGCCTTATTATTTTCTTTTCAATTTATCTTTATTTATTATTTAATAATCATATTTCATCTTTTATCCAATCTTTTCATATATCTCTACCCATACCCTACATTTCTCGTAGGTTTATCATTCAAATTATAGATCTATATGGCATTATGTAACGACGGAGAACGATAGAATCTATTTAAACATTTAAACAATACAGTACGATAAAAAATAACACAGTATAATACATACGATACATTATGAAACAATGCGTAACAACCATCCAAACAAAGTGTTAATGGCAACTTACGGCTTAATCTTTATGGAGAAGTTTGGTCACGTTAGATATTTAAGCACAAATATAATATATCTCGACTCATTAATGTTTATTTAAACCATGAACATACGGATAATTTTTAATTCTCTCATCTGTTCCATGTTACTTGGCCCCTCTTGATTGATTAGTAATATAAAACTAATGGAGTATTAAATTTAGAGGCTATGAATTTATTAAGTAGGGGTTTAATACTCTATTAGTTTCAAATTTATTGGCGCCTTGTAAGAAGCATGTCAGGTTGTGCCTTACGACCTACAATTTCCGTTCAAATATTGCCGTTTTGAAAAATTTTCTCAATTTTTTTTTGCATTTTTGACTCCAGACTCCGATATGAAACTAATGGAGTATTGAACCCCTATCCAATAAAATTGTGGGTGTAAGTAGTGGTTAGAGAAAGAAGGAAAGAAAATTGGTCAAACTAAAAAGCTTTGTTAAGGGGGTGAAAAATAAAAGGGCGTGTCATTGTAGCAGCACTTTTGTAGGGAAGAGTTTAGAAATAGGAGACAAATTGAATCTCAACAAGTATATTTCTATCAATTTATATTTACTATAAGCATCAAAATCAACGTTCACGACTTTCGAAATTGACAACACACACACACTTCATTCACTTTACCTATGTTTGTAGAGTTGTGTTGTGATAACAAAGAAGAAGAATGACCTACCTATCTTCTCTTTTCTACTCTTTTTCAACTTTGAAGATTGAATATTACTACTAATGTATACTAAAAGAGAACCCCCAAAAAAGGGAAAAAAGATAAAGGAAAAGGCAAAAAAAGCAAAGAAAAGAAAATTTAACTAGGATATCTTTGTTTCCACTTTACCCGGATTGTTGACCGCTAAAGACACTTTGTAAGTTCAAAAGTTGCTACTCCAATCCAAATTATTGCCAAACTCCTTACATGTAACACTACTTTTTATTTATTTTTAACACCGTAATTCGTGGTATTCGAATCAACTTCCACATATTTCATTGACTATTAAGTTGCCACTAAATTTCAATCGTGAAATCTCAAAGTTCTCAACTTGTGGAAAGATTTATATAACAACCCTTATTGGTACATTTACATGGTGCCTTGAGAAGTTACCAAATCTTATCCAACTCAAGTGTATTATAATATGAAAAAAAATGACTCCTTCAATATCTTTGGGTTCATAATATTTTGATGATTGACAAGTTTATGTGTGCTACTTGTTCCAACATCTCATGAAATTCATACTCAATTATACATATGTAAAATTAAAACTTTTTTTTTTTTAGTATATATAATAAGTTTTGAACCTCTCAGTGAAAATTCTTGACGTGCTAGAATATATTTTGTATACTTTCTCTTTGTACTTCGAACCAAAAATCTAGAAAAATACGGGAAAGCGATCGCAGCAACAAGGTACAAAAGTAGAAGCATTTTTTTTGGCAAATTCTTAAGCAACAACAAATGCACGTAACCCAAGGCAGAAGACACCACTTAATTAAAATTTAAAACGGAGATTAGGATAAAACTTTATATAATTAACTATAAGTACAACTAATAGTATAATTCTATAATATTAAAGTGCTAATTAATAATTTACAAAGAGCAAAGCACGAGAGAAAACAGATAATTGACCACTCATTACTTTGTCATGACCGTTGAAATCTCTATAATCGAGGGAAAACCAAAACTTAACTATTACTAATAATAATTAACGATTTTAAGCAGAAAATCTTAATTTTAATTAAATTACTAATTTCTCACCGCTATGGCTTCTTCTAATGCAGATGAATCTGTTATTAAGTGCGTTGATTTTTCATGTGAAGCGTCGCTTGCTGAACGTGATAAAATGGATGACTCTGAATCTATAATTAAATTAGAAATGTGTAAGAAAATAATTAAGATTATGGAGTAATTATTTTGATTAATTAATTTTTTGGAATGTTAATTGAGTTTACCTCTAGATGAATTGAAAGACTTCTTGCAGTGTAAAATGGCGCCTTGAATTGCGTCTTGTTGCTGCATTAACGAGTCGTCTCGACGGTTAGATGTTACCGGCGACGCGGCAACAACCGCCGACGACGCTGATCTGCTTTTCCCCAAATGTTTACGAACTATTCGCAGTCCTGACGGGATATTCCCCTGCTTCTGGTTCCTCTCTGCCGTCTGTGGAGCGTCAGTTGCTGCTTCTGCCTTCGCTGCTGCGGACGGAGGTGGTGAAGGACCGGGCTTAAGTGCAGCATTACCTGTTAAGCTCAACTGTCCGGAGAATCTGAGCTTCTCGCCGTAACGTTTCGAGACGCGAATGTACAGAGGTTTTACTTTTTTCAAGTATTTCTGCATCACCTCTTTAGAAAATTTCTTCTCATCGGAAGAAGAATTTTCTGAATTTGTTGAAAATGCTTCCGCCGGATTCCGCTTCTGTATTTTGCTGCTGCTGTTGTTGGCTTTAGAGCTGTTATCTCTAGTAAACAATGACTTAATAGGAACTTCTTCAACCTTAAACTTCACTGCTAAAAACTTGCTCTGCCTTCGATTCTGACGCTCCTCTTTTTCATCCTCTGATACTTTAATCCGTAGTGGTTTCGGAGTAGCTGAAACAGAGCCATCATCGCCATCACCTTCAGATAATTTTCCAGTTTTTGTTGCTGCATTTGATTTTGGCTTCTTCAGCTTCAGCATTAACACTCTAAACTTAGTTGCAGACTTCAACAATGACGAAGAAAATTTAGAGTTTGCTTCCGAGGCGGTTAACAACAGCGATGAAGGCTCGATTGGAACCAAACTTCCTTTGAAGAAAAGATCATCCGACGGCGAAAGTGATAAATTCGGATCCGTACCATCAACACTCGAACTAGACGGGGAAAGCGTGAATTTCAGCTCTCCTTCATTCTCCGACTCACTTCCATCTCCTTCCTCAGTCTCCTCCTCCTTCTTTGAACTAATTTTACACCTATCATTTCCTTCAACTTTCACTTCTTCTTCCTCAACTTCTGGAAGAGCAGTGAACTCCAAGTCAAAAAACGGTCCATCATCTCCGTCTCCGTCATCGTCGGAGTCAGATTCCGACGAGTTAGCACTAACGTCGGTGAGAACAGCTGAACGAGTTTTAGCACCGGCGGCATCGTCAGAGAAAACTCCGGCAGCGCCACCACCACGCCAGTACTTGAGCAAACTGAAAGCTTCCATAGTTGGTAGAGCCAGTATAGTATAATAAACAATTATTACTAGAAAAAAGGATGTGAATAAAGTGAAGAGAGATGAAGAAAAGTGAGAGGTGTTTTATAAAAGGGGAAGAAGATTGATGATGGAGAGACTTAGCTAATACTGTTGCAGCAGTACTCTGAAAGGTGGCAGAGGAAGAACAGTAACACAACTTGGTAAAAGTTTTATTTTCTTTCTCTTTTTTACATTTTCATTTATATATTACTCCTAGTAATAGTACTTATTTGTAGTTTTTAAATTTTACTATTGCTTCCCTCGAACGATCGTAAATGGTATGCTTATATCATTCGTCATACTTTTGAAATATTGGTGTCTCTATTATCCAAACCATTCATTCTAACGAAAGAATAAATAGGAACACATGGCGCAATCTTATCCATCGATCCGATGTCGGGTCGATGGATAAGATTATGACACGTGTACGTCAATTAGTTTAAAGGCTATATATGCCCTAGTTTTTAGACAGCAGAGGCACTAATGTCCCAAAAGTATGACTGAGGATATCTACATACCATTTAAGATAGTTCGGATGTATATTTGTTTTTTTTCCCTTTTCTAAATTATTTAAATAAAAATATCTCCCTGTTTAAATAGATAATTGAAACCTTGAGATATTTTTTAAAACTTTTGGATACATAAGGGAGTGTTTATCGATACATAAATTTATATTAATCGAACTTCGATACAAATATTAAATATCAAAATAAGATATTAGAAAGAAAAATAAAATCCAACATTAACGTCATTGTGCATCACTTGAATTGTGTGTCATTCTCATAGTGGCCATTGCCGTAATGGTTCCGTTTACTATATACAAAATTGGTACAATGATGAGACGGGTGATCTATTATTTAATTCAATTTATTTAAGCATTAATTTTAGATAAATTAATAATATGTACTAATTTGATTTTTTAAAATTCCATTCAATCCACTTGATCTTTATTTGACCCTTAAATTTGTGAGTAGAATGAAAATGGGTCACAAGAGTTAATAGTGGTGGGAAAATAGTTGGGGGTTAGGGAGCTAATATTGAAAATGGGTCCAATTGCTAGCAATTGCAGAGGAGACTTCTTCCACCAACATGGGTCACTGGTGTACTGGTCGGACTGCTTCATCTTTGATTAGAGGTCTTGAGTTCGACTTTTGGTTATGGAGAAAATTTAATTGAGAGTGTTATTTCTAAATGAGTTATGGCACGATTCGAATTTAGTCAGGCTTCATTAAGAACTCCGAACACCAAATGAAGAAAAAAAGAAGAGGAGGCTTCTTCCACCAACATGGGTTATTGGTGTACTGATCGGACTGCTTCACCTTTGATTAGAGGTCTTGAGTTCGATTTTTGGTTATGGAGAAAATTTAGTTGAGAGTGTTATTTCTGAATGAGTCATGCAGTGCACGATTCGAATTTAGTCAGGCTTCATTATTAACTCCGAACACCAAATGAAGAAAAAAAGAAGAGGAGGCTTCTTCCACCAACATGGGTCACTGGTGTACTGGGCGGACTATTTCACCCTTAATTAGATGTCTTAAGTTTGATTTTTGAAGATGGATAAAAGTTTGTTGAGAGTGCTATTTCTGAATGAGTCCTACAATGCACGATTAGAATTTAGTCAGGCTTCATTATGTACTCCGAACACTAAATGAAGAAAAAAAGAAAGAAGAGGAGACTTCTTCCTCCCCTGAAGTTTTGAAAAATGAATCTTCTACCTATACAATAAAGTTTATAAGTGGGCATAATCACGTAATGTTATACATTAGATTTCATACATGAGCTATTATCTAGTTACAGTACATTGCTTTTTTTAATATGTTGTAATTCTTTTTAGTATAATATTGTATACAAAGTATCCCATATTAGCAAAATGCGTAAAAGCTTGCACCTCAAGAATTGAAATGTAAGTAGAATGTCTATTTATCGTTACGGTTCGAACTCATAACCTATAAATCACACAAAAACTACGAAAAAAACGTACGTTACTTTTATAGTTTATAGTTGTGTCCCTAGTGTTGAGCTTATAATACAGTGCTATATGTTCGTGGTTACAGAATAGTCATGTGAAGAAATCCAGTGTTTGTGTCAGCCCCATTGCATTATACAAATATCCTTTTCATAAAGCTTTTTTGGAACATCTCTAAAAATTACACACGTACAAATTCTTATCTAAAATAATAATAATATCTTTGTACTATAAAGAATTGGGGTAAAAAATTACCTGCATTGTCGTTTATATCGATCGAAATTTCACATAATTTATTACCGTTAAAAATATTTAACTCTAATAAAAAAAAATTCAACATAAATTTTAATTTTATCGAGCTTTAACGTGAATATCAAAAACTAAGCGGAGCACATGCATCACAGTGAATGATAGTGGTTACTTACTGCAACATCCGTAGACTGCCTTCTTTATTTCACATAATTTTGGGTAAGAAAAGTCACGTGGCAAACATGCACGGAAAGTACCACATAGGAAACCTTTTGCTACGAATAACTCACATTCATTACTACGCGTAAATCTCTCGATTTATATGGCATAGTTCAAATTTTAAAGGTAAAAAAAACAAAAACAATCACAATCAATTCCTATATTCGATTTTGTTATTTATAATATTTCTTATATAATGTCAAAATGTGAACTATATTATATAAATTGAGACGGTGAAATACAAGCTACTCTAAGTATTTATTTTTACAACTTGCATTCCCAACAAGATAAAATTATTGACCTTCAGTTACAAAATATTGTTGATATTTAGCTATGGAGTTAGAACTGATGAATTTTTGTCTCATTATTGCAGACAAAGTATGTAGGGTATGCTTGTGAATGAAGCCCACATTCATTATTTTTAAAGTACTATCTATCTATACTATAGTGGAGTACTTTTTTTTCCCAATAAATTTATCTTATCTGCTTTGTTATACATATTTAAATATACATGTATTAGTTAAAATACATATTCAATACGTGAACGACTCGAAAGATGATGTGTGGTAAGATGAACAAGTCTAATTATCTAGTTAGATTTAGGAGAAATCTAAACTAATGACCGGACACAACTCTTTAAATTTGCTATGCACGTACTAAGAAGGCGTTTGGCCATGCGATACCATATCACGATATGGAATCGTGAGATGAAATCAGTGGTTGGACATGCGATTTCATGCTGATTTCATCTCATGATTTGTATTATGAGATAGAATATCATATTCTCCATAAATCATGATATGGGAATTCCATATCATGATTTTGGGATTTTTTAAATACAAAAATTGACCAACAAGTTTATATTTTGTTAAAACAATCCCACATTTTATTTATTAACCATTTATTCCATATGTTAATAAAATTTATAATCACATCATTACTTTTTGAAATTTATTATTTTCACCAACATAATATTTATTATTACTTTAAATTTGGTGAATATAAATGATAAAGTATGAATTGATTTGGTGAATATAAATAAGAACGGAGGGAGTGATATTTTTGGTTTTTCATAATAAAAAAAACTTCTCTTTAAGCTACATATGAAAATGCTTTAAACAATATAATAAGAAAAGAGACAAAATTGGTGATGTATGTTTGATAATCACTACTTCCAATACGTTTGACTTTAGCACGAAATTAATGCACTAAAATGTGTAATTGCCCACAAGTGAAACAAGTCATGAACCATTATGATATTGACACAAAAGTGAAAATTGTCATAGCTTGTACAATGTTACATAATTATTTGCGAGAATACCAGGAGTGATTAAATACTTATGGTCTATGAGCATGAAAATATAGTTGCAAATGATATTGACCAACAAATGAAAGTAACAATGTGTAATTGCACACAAGTGAAACAAGGCATGAACCATTATAATATTGACACAGAAGTGAAAATTGTCATAGTTTGTACAATGTTACATAATTATTTGCGAGAATACCAGGAGTGATTAAATACTTATGGTCTATGAGCATGAAAAAATAGTTGCCAATGATATTGACCAACAAATGAAAGTAACAATGTTGTTCGTACTATGTATGAAACAAGGCATGAACCATTATAATATTGACACAGAAGTGAAAATTGTCATAGTTTGTACAATGTTACATAATTATTTGCGAGAATACCA